GACAAGAAATTCGTTCCTCCGCCCCTCCCCGCCCCTCCCTGTGCCCCCCTCCGCCCACCTCGCTTCGTCCCCCCCCCCCCTGCGCACCTCCCTGTCTCCCCCCTGCGCTCCCTCCCTCCCCCCTCCGCTCCGTCCCTCGCCTCCGCCCGCCTCGCTTCGTCCCCCCCACCCCCTCCGCGCCTCCCTGCCTCCCCCCTCCGTGCCCCTCCCTCCCCCCGCCCACCCCTCTCGGGCCCTCACCCCCCCCTCCCCTCCGCCGTGCGGCCCCCCCGCCCGGATGGGCAGCCCCCCCCCCCCCCGTCCCCCGCTTGGAGGGGCGCACCCCCCCCGCCGAGCGCGGAGGCCCGGGGCGCTCCCGCCCCGCGGCCGGGACGCGGAGGCGGCGTGGGAGGCGCGGCCCCCGGGCGGCCGCCCCGCGGGTGGCGGCGCGCTCTCCGCGCGGCGCAGGGCCGCCCGTCGAGACCGCGGCGGCCCTGCCTGGCCCCTTTTTTCGTGCCGCTTGGGCCGCCCTCGAGGAGGGGGATCGATCGGGAGTGGACAGAACCCCCAACAGTGACACGTCGATCAGTGAATTGTCCGTTTTCGGTTCTCTAAGAGGGCGCCGTGGCCGTTATTTTCCAGGCTTGCGCCCGCCAGGTTTGGGCCCGAGGTCGTTTTCACTAAACCACGTTTTACTAGAGGGGGGTCTGTCCATCCCCGGATCGACTGCAGAGCTGATGTGCATCCCGAGCTTGGTTCTTCCTTTTTTAGGATTCACGAGAAGAGCGCGGACTGGGCAGGGAGGGTCGATTTCGAGGAGGGGGGATCGACTGCAGAGTGGATGCGCATCCCGAGCTTGGCTCTTCCTTTTTTAGGATCCACGAGGAGATCGTGGACTCAGTCCACGATCTTCTCGTGGAACCTCATCGTGGGCCTCCTTCGAGGATGGGGGGATCGACTGGAGAGTGGATGTGCATCCCGAGCTTGGTGCTTCCTTTTGGGATCCACGAGACGATCGTGGACTGGGCGGGGAGAGTCGATTTCGGGGCAAGTCCCCCGATCGAAAGGACTATCAAGCCTGCTCGGATGCTGATGTGTCTTGTGTGCCAAGCGCAGGTAGCTGTCGCCCTCCAGGGGCTCTTCAGCCGAAATGGCACTGCACAGGAGCATCGGATGAAAGGTCGCTCGCATGTGCAGTTTTCTAAACAAATCCAGGCCCTACCCTCCCTGTCACTGCCTGGTTTGCCAGGTTCGATCCTCTACTCGACTCCTGGAGGCTTCGCGTGTCGCCAGGGCCAGATCGGCCTCGGAAAACGGCCGGGAGGGGTTCCGCGGCGGATTCTGAGCGGCTCTTGGCGGTAAAGCCGCCGCTGTCTCCATTGGCCCTCCTGCGGTTCGCGCCTCCTCCGCCGCCGCCGCCTCCCCCCTCCCCTCCTTTCCTGCTCGTCTGTGTCGTTGTCGTTCCCCTCGTCCCCCTTTCCTCGCTCTCGTGCTTGCCGTCGCTCTCGTCTTCGCCTTCGTCTTCGTCGTTATCGCCTTCCGCCTCCTCCTTTCCCGTCCAGCGCTGCTAGTCTGCCAGCATAAACGCTGGGACAGCGCAGTCAACACCTTCTTGCGTCAGCGCAGGCCAGACCTCCACCGACCGCGCGCATTTTACAAGGGCAGCCGAGCGACCTCACACGGGTACAGGGTACACTGGGTACAGACGGCTCAAGATCTTGTCGCGCGGCCGACGCTTCAAAAACAGTGCACCAACCCCACCAGAGCAAATGCCCAATATCAAACACGAGAACACCTGGCGAATGGCCAGACGACGCACTCAACGCACATCTTACACTGTCACCGATAATATGAGAATGCGCAGAAAACTCGTGTGAATCGTAATGCACTTGTTAATGCCATTACGAACATGTATTGCTACTATAGAAGACGCCTACGGCGAATCACCGCCGCCCCCTGCCTTTTTGGAAGCGCCTGTGTGGCCGAACGTTGAGGCCAGACCTGCCAAGCTATCGGACCATGTGTTCCCCGAATCGGTTTGGAAAGCCTTCGGGGAACACGGGGGCATCTTGAAGGTCATCTTGGCCGCCTGGAGGCCATTTTGACCCTTTCGGGCCTTCTTGGAGGACGTCTTGGAGGGCTCTTGGGCCGTCTTGGAGGCCATCTTGAGCGTCTTGGAGGCCTCTTCGGCCGTCTTGGGGGCCTCTTGGGGCCGTCTTGGGCCTCTTGGGCGATCTCTGGGGGCACTTGGGCCGTCTCGGTCAGTCGGAAGGCCGAAAAGGGAATCAATGATTTTGGCCTTTTCGGGACTTCGTGGAGGCCCTCTTGGAGGCCTCTTGGGCCGTCTTGGGCCATCTTAGTGCCATCTTCGGCCGTCTTGGTGGGCCCCTGGCCCGTCCGACGCCGTCGGAAGCCGTTTGGGGGGCCTCTCTGAGCCGACTTGGGGCCCTCTTGGAATGCCCTCTTGGAATGCTCCAGGGCCGTCTTGGAGGCCATCTTGGGCGTCTTAAAAGCCTCCTGGGCCGTCTTGGGGGCCTCTTGGGGCCGTCCTTGGGGGCGTCTTGGGCCGTCATGGGGCCATCTTGGAGGCCTCTTGGGCGATCTTTGGGCGATCTTTGGGGGCTCTTGGGCCGTATCGGGCCGTCAGAAGGTCGAAACGAAGCAAATGTCAAAATCCTTCGAACACCTACGGAAAATCAGTATTTTTGGCATTTTCTGGCCTTCCTGGAGGCCCTCTTGGAGGCCTCTTGGGCTGTCTTGGACCAGCTTCGAACCAACTTCGGCCATCTTGGTGGGTTCCTGGCCCGTCTGACGCCGTCGGAAGTCGTTTGGGGGGCCCTTCTTGGCCGACTTGGGGCCTTCTTGGGGTGCTCCAGGGCCGTCTTGGAGGCCATCTTGGGCGTCTTGGAGGTCTCTTGGGCCGTCTTCGGGCCCTCTTGGGGCCGTCTTGGGGGCGTCTTGGGCCGTCATGGGGCCTTCTTGGAGGCCTCTTGGGCGATCTTGGGGCGATCATGGGAGCCGCTTGGGCCGTCTTGGGGGCAGTCCTCAGGCCATCTTGGAGGCCTCTTGGGCGTCGTGGGGGCGATCGTGGGGGCCTCTTGGGCCGTCTTGGGTCGTCGGAAAGTCGAGAAGAAGCGAATGCCACAATCCTTCAAGCACCTAGGGAAAATCTATGATTTTGGCCTCTTCGGGTCCTCCTGGATGACGTCTTGGAGGCCTCTTGCGCCGTCTTGGAGGCCTCTGGGGGACCTCTCGGGCCGTCTTGGACCGTCTTGGACTCTCAGGGGCCGTCTTGGAGGCCGTCTTCGACCATCTTGGGCGGACTTGGAGGCCATCTTGGACCATCTTGAAGGCCATCTCGGGCCAACGTGGCCATCTTGGGGGCCATCTTGAGCTGTCTTGGAGGATTTTTTGTGGACGCTGAGGCCATCTTGGCTGTCTTGGATGCATCTTGGAGACCATCTTGGGCCGTCTTGGAGCCGTCTGGAGCAGGAAAAACCTTTGCAACCGGGTTTTTGGCAATCTCGCGGGACCCCGGCGGGACGGGCCGAAGCCCCAGGGGGAGTTCTTTTGGAAAAAGAACCAAAACCGAGAAGGTCCAGCACGCCAGGCACCCCTGCGATGAGTCGACAGGGGGCGGCGGATCTAATGGCCTTCGGCCCATTCCGCCACCGTGCCTGGGTTGTGGGTCAGAGTCCTTGGAGATGCTTCTTGGGGTCTCTTCGGAGCGCTCTCGGGGGCCTCTGGGGTATAGTTTTGGGGCCTCTTGGGAGCCTGTGGAGGGCTTCTTGGGAGCCTCTTGGGGGCTTCTTGGGGCCTTCCTGGGGGCCTCTTGGGGCATCTTTTGTAGCCTCGTGGAGGCTTCAGGGGCCTCTTGGGGCCTCCGGGGGACCTCTCGGGGCCGAGGGCTCGAAATGTCCATTCGGATCCACTTGGAGCCGTCCTGGGGGCCTCTTGGCTGTCTTGGTGGCCTGTTGGGCCGTTCTGGGGCCCTCTTAGAGGCCTCTTCGGCTGTCTTGGGGCGATATTAAGGGGCTTCCTTGGGGCGTCTTGGAGCGTCGGGAAGCCGACAAGGCGAGACGGCCAAAATAGTTTACCAACCTGCGGAACATCACTGTTTTTTTTTCCTCTTGGGGCCCTCGTGTGGGTGCTCCTGGGGCCCCCTTGTAGCTCCTTGAAGGCCTCCTTGGCCGCCTCGGGGTCATGTTGGGAGCCTGGGAGCGATCATTGGGGCGACTTGGCGCCGTCTTGGACTATCTGGGCGGTCTCCCGGGGGTTCCTTGTTTGTTTTGGGACCCAGAACACGCACGCGAAACTTGGGGTCAGGGCTCTGAAGAGCCTTACGTCCTTCTACCTCTCAGTGCTGCATGAGCCTTGGGGCACTCCACCTCGTACCAGAAGCACGGTGGCGGATTACGAGTACTATCATAACGCGACCAGTGCTACATGATGACCACATCCTACGAGCATGACTGTTCATAGCTATGACGCTGTGGATGAGTGGTACAATAACGACTAGTCATGACCTTGTGAGTATGACTAAACATACTAACAGTACCTCTGCTGGTAATATCTACATTGTGTATGATACATGCTGACAGCAGTGATACCATACTAACAGCAGGATGATGATATGATGCTGCTGATGATGCTGCTGATGATGATGCTGATGATGATCATGACCATTATGATAATGATGCTGATGATTACGATGCTGATGTGCTGATGATGATTAAAATGATGACGATGATGGTGATGATGCTGATGCTGCTGCTGATGATAAGGAGGATGAGGATGAGGATGAGGATGACGATCACACATATTATGACGATGAGGATGTTGTTGACAATGATGATAATGCTGATACTGATGATGATGACGATGATGCTGCAACTGATGATGTTGATGTTTTTGTGGTTGTTGCTGTCGTTGTCGTCGTTGTTGTTGCTGTTGATGGTGCTGATGAGGATGTTGATGAGGATGAGGATGTGCATGCTGATACTGCTGATTATGATGATGAGCCGCTGATGCGGATGACGATGCTGCTGCTGCTGTTAATGATGATGACGATGATGATACGGATGATGATGACGATGATGCTGCTGATGATGATGCTGATGCTGGTGATGATGATGGTGATGATGATGATGCTGCTGACTAATCTGATGATGATGCTGGTGCTGATGATGATGATGAGGATGTTGATGATTTCGATGATGAGGCTCCTGCTGCTGCTCATGATTATAATTATGGTGCTGATTATGCTGATGACGACGATGATGAGGATGATGAGGCTGATGCTGCTGATGATGATGATGCAGCTGATGATGATGGTGACGATGATGATGCTGACGATGGTGCTGATAATGATGATGATGCTGGCGATGATGATGATGATGATGATGATGATGATG